ATGGTTAGGTTCTCCCTTTCTGCCATAGGAATACTATAATGTCTAATACTCCCAAAGTCACTCCTTCAGTCAGTGTCCTATGTAAGGGCTAACTGTAACCCTATCTATTCCTCTCACCTTCTCCCCGTTGTTCATCATGACTTAAGGGTGAAAATCCAAGTTGCATCTATCCTTTACTCTCCCAAAACAGCCTCCAGGATCTGGACTAGGATGAGCCAAGCCAGGCTACTAGACCACAAAGTTTAAGGAGACAGTTACTCTGAGAATCATTAAATTCTAGGTGCCTGGCATGCCTCCTCCTATTCCTTATGTAGTCATCCTCATGAATATGCAGGAGGTAAATAGTGAGTATTTGCATAGTGTTCACTTCACTATTGGAAATTCTCAAATGTCTCCCCAAAGCCTGCAGGTCATAGTCCAAACTACTGAATGTGGCCAACACAGTCCTTTCTGGGCTGGCTCCTGTCCCTGTCCCTACTCAGAGGCCTCTACTCTTTGCCTTACATTACTTTCCAGTAATCCTCAATTCATTAGGGTTTCCTCCTGGTGGAGGTTAACACAGACTTGTACACTATTAGTATGTTGATGCCAAATGATGGAAAAAGTGGAAAACCTGAGGAAGAGGTGTGGCAGTGGCTAAGAGGGCTGGCTCTGATGTGATCCTATCTCTGTGAGGAGCTGTGCCCATGAACTACTGATTTTTCTCTAGGCCTCAGTTACCTCCTTTAAAAAGAAAAAGGGAAGAAAATAGGAAAAACATATCTATTTCATTGGTTGCTGTGCAGATTGAAAAAAAAGTTCATGTAAATCCTTAGCACAGTGGTTGACACCTATAAGTGCTCAATAAATGGTCGTTAATGTTCTTACAAATTGGAAACAAAATCCAATCTTAGAGAAGTATTTATAAATTTACTGACTGCAGCTGAATTTCAGGAGGTGACAGTGACATATAGGTAACAGTTAGATGCAGCCAGTCATCCTGAGAAGTCCAAGTTTTCTCCGTAACAGGTGCCTGCCAAGACCAAGATAGAGAGACACCTTTCCACACTGCAGACTTGTGCTGGAAGGTACCATAGAAGAGTAAAGGTACAGAGTCTGGGTTTCCATGTATCAGTAGCAAGACCCCACACCAGAATTTGTTACCTCATTACTTAGTGTCTGAGCCTTGAAGAAAACATGTAAATTATGCAGAAAGGCACCATATTGTTGGAGGCAAATGAGACCTTCATTATCCCTGTGTGAGCAGGGCTTAGCCAACAGAGCAGAGAGAAACAGTAAACCCATCAAGGTCTGGCAGCACAGATGGGCGCTCAAAAAGGTTCCAGGGACCCTCAGAGTAGGGCCAAATGCTGTCGTTATTCAAGCAGTTAACACATGGCTAGGCACGTGGTGTGTCCCTAATGATTCTGCTTCTCTGCAGCCTTCTCCAGGGGAGGCTGTTCATCTGCCCACAATCCTCACCCTTAAAACACATAGCCTACAACCCAGTGGGTTAGGATTCTCCTAATCCTCCACTGCCATTCTTAGCAAGTTCCATTCTCATGTGATTTAAAGACCCTCTTGTCTCCATGGTCACACTATTAGGCTACACCATTGTCTCCAACTCCCACCACTTTTACACATTGACTACATTCAAATCCATCCCTTATGCTTACTGGGTACCACAGCATCCAGTGCCTGGCATGACGTAGATACTCACTCAACATTTGCTGAACACTGGCACTGGTTCAAAGTCCTACCCTTCACCCCAATCCCTGTTGCCATCTCAGATGCCCCCAAGATCTGTCAAAGGATTCTTACAGCATCTCATCCTCCAGGGTCTTGCTTTACCTATTTCCATAGTTTTCTCTTCCATTCCAGGAACTCAGATTTATGACTGGCCAACATCTACATCTAAAATCTTGACCTCAAAAATCATCCATCAATCAATCTTTTAAATTAATTAATGTCTTTAAAATCAATATTTTATTCTTTCCTGTCTCCCATTCTTTACAAACCTGATCCCAATCATCACTGCCCTTTTCAAGTCCTGTGCTACATCTGTTCTGCCACTTCCTCAATTATCTCTCACTTCATATGGTAAAGGTCACCACATATAAATTCCCTCCAGATCCCTTCCCATTCACTTCCAAAATTAACTGTATTTTCACCTATTGTTATTTCCTCACATGTGGTCCCTTAGGAAGGAAAGCTTCTTTGAAAGCAAATTCCTCTACTCTTGCATTCTATCATAATCTTCCTGAAATGGTATATATTTCATCAACCTGACTTTATCTTCTATCACTCCACCTTTAAAGTGACTTCCTATTTGTCAAACCCAGTGAACGTTCCGTTCTCAGCCTTAGTTGATTAACCTGAAGCATTTAAGAAGGTTGAATACATCCTTCTCAGAACCTTCTTCCTTTTCTTCTGATCTAGTACTTGCCATGGGGTTTTTTTCTTTCCTCTACACTCATCCTTGCTGATAGCTACCCTTGGACCCTTTACCTTTATTCTCTCTTTAAATTTTGATATTCCTGAGGCTTTGTCCAATATCCCCTTTTCTTAATTTATAGCCTATTCCTGGATCATGGTACCCATTTGCATGGCTTCTGCTGAATCTGGGCCCACATTATGACTCCTAAGTCTGTCTCTGGCCAAGACTTCTCCCTTGAGTATCAAAACCACATGGCCAAATATACACAGAAACCTCTGCGTGGATGTCTCTCCAGACCTCAACACACTCAAGACTTGGTGCAGTCTCTTCCCCATCGTATCTACTCTGCTCTTGAATTCTCCATCTCTCTTAGCGGTGCCATTGCCCATCTAGCTGAGGCTCAGACATGTAAGTGACCAGGCCACAATCTGGTCTAGTGTTTTTCCTTCTCTCACTGAGACTGGGTCTGCCACGGGATGGACTGCAACAGTCAGCTGTAAAGTAGCTGCCCATTAGGTGTGAAGAAGCCTTACCTTGAACAGAAGATACTTTTAGCCAGGATAATTTGATTGGGATGTATATAGGGACTTCTAGGGGTTTGCAGAGAGAAAGAGGTAGAAATTGAGAAGTGATCTGTCGCATCTAACTAGCAGGAGGCCCATGTCATTGACCAACATCATTGAAGGCTATTATCTTAAGAAGTTTTATCCAGTTTGGAAGATATACTTTGAGTGCTTAAATACTGAGCTCTGAGGTGAGGCTTGGGAAAAGCATATTCTGGCCAGCTTCTTCAAACCCTCCCATTCCTGTCCACTTACCAGATATGACTTGTGAAAAACAAAGCTAACGTATGTTTATATATCATGGAGATCAAAAGTAGCTCAAGCCAAGAAGATCTGCAAAAAAGTCATATGCTAGCAGATCAACCCTTCAGACTCTACTTTTATATCTTTGACTAGCTTATTTAAATTTCTGCCTTTGTCCTGTGGCAGATATTTCTATAAGGATTCAATATGACTGATATAGCATCCATTAGTTTAGTGATGAAGACAGCATTATTATTTTAGTACTCCCTATCAGTCATAGGTAATTCACTTCTTCAAGTGGCAGACTTTGCATATGAAGTGCCACATCAACTCCCAACGCAGGCCAGTTTGAGAACACCTGAGAGCAGTCTCTGTGTGTTGATAGAACTCTGTGAGTTCCGGCTGACTGAATTCCCTCATGGTCTGAGTGATCCAAACATCAGACAGTGATGCACCTTTACCAGAGTGGAGGTTATCACGAATCCTTCTGCTGTGATGACATGCTAGGAGAGTTATGTATCAAAGAGAGCACATACTCTTTACCTTGCTTTAAGCAAATAGCCAGCTAAACAGATTATGCAAATGAAGCATCCCCAAACACATCTCCAAGTAAAATGGGTAGACCTGTTGTATCTAATAGCTGAGGAAGTATTACTCCCATTTCACATATGCAAGGTTACAAGTGATATCACATTTTTAAAATATCTTTTAATCAACGATCTTAACAAGTCTCCACTCCTCCAAGCTGTAGAAAATTCAACTTCAAATCTTCCTCTCAGAGGACTGGGTGCTGGAATTTTATGTAGTGCTATGGAACTTGGGATCCTCTCTCACCCAGAATCATTAGTTATCAGTTCATACCGTTAGCCTAAGACACCCATTGTCCACATGCACACGGTCCCTTTGGGTCCATTGCTTGTGCTGCTTCTGGGGCAAAGTAATATTTACCAGGTCTGGAAATCATGCAGCCATTCTCCTCTGAGGCCTATCCAGATCATAGTGCCACTGCCCAATCTCATGGAGCCCACTGCCCTCTATTTCTTTCTTTGATTTCCATAGATCCCTTCTTCGATCTGTCTTTCAGGGTTTCCTTGATAACAACAGCGCTCTGCGCCCTCCTTCAAGGAAACCCAGCATAGTCTTCTCAGTGGGTTTAGACTTTGAAAAACAAAGACAGTAAAAGAAGTCTCATGGAGGCCACTCCTGCTTTCTATTCTATCACAAAATAGAAGCAAGAAAACACAGAGGTTCCTCCCTCCCTAAATGAAGGGAAAGAAGAGAACACACAGGCAGAAAGTATCATTTTGCATCTCCAAAGCTGACTTCACCATGTAGAGTTTCCACTGGTGTGTACTCTGTATGACAGGTCAGTTACCACAGGAAAAGTAAGATGAGATCCTTTGGGGACCAACTCTTGGACAGTGTCATGGGGGGCTGGTAGCACTACTGGTGAACCTACTCCTGTAGGTTAGCAATAAAAGTGACATCCTACCTTCCATTCCAATGTGAAACCTGTGTCTTGTCAGAGAAATTTTTTTCACATATATTATTCCACCAGGGCTCCCACAGCCCCACTGTCAGAAAAGCTGTATTATTTCCATATCACTGATGGAAAGACTGAGGCTCCAAGAAGTAAAGCTATTTAGCATGTGTGATGTGGAGATGGGATGTGAACCTATGTCTGTCTGACTCCTGGATTCCCTGCTCCTTGCACTCCCTGCATACTTACTCCCCTTTTCTCTCCCCCCACACTTGACAGGGCTACCCATAACAGGGCTCAGAGCCCAGAAAACCAGGTAGTCATCACTCCACCATGTGAGACCAGGTAACACCTCTTCCCTAAGCATCCTGAGTGCTGGTTCTTCACTTGGAGCATCCTTTCCCCACCTAAATCTAGCCCAGTGCCCCTCCCCTCATGATTCCCCTTCCAGATGGCTATGAGCTCTGTCTCCCTGTGTATCTTTAATTTAACCAGCCATCCCTCCACAATGATCTCCCTTGTATTTTGGCATTTATACACATATCTCATGTCCTCCAGGACATTTTTGGCTCTGGAGTGGTATGACCACAATTCATTGCCTGACCTAAAGGAGATACACAAGAAATGTCTCTGAAATTGAAGGGTGAACTGAAGATGAATGAATGTAAGAAGAAAGGAAGAAGTGAGTGGATGAACTAATGGATTGAGTTGAAAATGAAAACAATGGAGGATACCAAGAATTCCAAACAGCCATTGCAGGCAGTGATGAGACAGTATTCGCTACAAAGCATGAGAGAGGATACATACTGGGATTAAGAGGACACCAAAACGCAAGTATAATTCAAGGTCTGTGAAGAAACACTCTTCAGGACCCAATAATTCCATGTTTCACTCTGAATTCACTTTATGGGTACTGATTTCTGAAACTATTCACTTTTATAAAGCCCTAGCCCTTCTTTCTGATCATTAATCCACGGCCATGATGGACTAATGCTACCACGGAGAATAATTTTGGTGTGTCCACACTGTGCCAGGTGCTCTTGCAAATATCTCACTTAATTCTCACAATGATATGAGACATGTAGCTATGTATATGTTTTACAGATGGGAAAACTGAGGCTTAGAAAAGTTAAGCAATTTTTAAGGTCCCTGATATAATAAATGACAGAGTCAGAATGCAAACCCATGTCATCTGAGTTCAGAGCCGTCCCTCCTAATCCCTCTCCCATCTAGGTTTCCAGCAACATGGCACCATGCCTGGCTATGACAGCAAGCTTCCATTAACTGAGCACTTGCTATATGATTCACCAAACACTCTGTGGACACTGAATTCACAGCAATCTCATGGCTGAGGCACTGTTTTGATTCCTATTTTATAAACAAAGACACTAAGGTTTGTGTGACTGAGTGAAGCCACTAGAAAGTGACAAAGCTGGAATTCGAATGTAAGCTGACTTCTTCCAAAAACCACGCTCTTTACCATAATTACTGTGTCCCAGAAGAACCACTCATAATTTTCTCTCTTGTTCAGTAGATGGTTGTGGGGTCACAGAAAGAGCCCTGTATTTGAAATTGGATTATTTATGTTCTAGTCTTGGTTCTTCTGCTTAGGTTTGTACCTTGGACAAGATGTTTAACATTTCTGGGCCTCAGTTGGTCATCCATATGATGGAGGCAATCATGCCCCCTGTAGAGCTACTGTGAAGGTTAATGAGGAGTCAATGCTCATGAACACACTGTGCAAACCTCTATTTCTGTGAAGGAGAAGAGGGTCAACAGATATGATTATGCTTGTCTGGAAGTGGATAAAAGGAGTCTCACAGAGATGAAGTGTCTGGTCTAACAATCTCACAGAGAGTCCGTTCATTAGGCCAGGAACAAAACCCAGATGTCCCTAGGCAGTAGTCCATGTGCCTTTTGCTAGGTGGCCAAGGATCATTATTTGCAAGGATGAGATTCTGCCAGCCCCACAGTGCTTCTTTGGTTTCCATGTGCATCATCTTTCCCCCCTCACACACCACCCAGCTCTTTCGAGGCCCCTTGACATTCAGGGTAAAAGTCTTTTTCCATCATTCCTTGGCTTAACTGTTGAATTAAGTGGTCTTGTTCTGTTAAAGAGGTCCACCCAGAACGAGCAGGCTGGAGAGAAGGCAGCGTGAGGCTGGTCAGGCTCGCCTGTCGAGGGCTTGAGATCCTCTGCTAATGAACACCGTTTTGGAGCTGCTCGGGATTAAGCCATTATCTGTACGATCTTCACCTGACCCTTTATGGGCCAAAATTCATTCATTCCAATTTCATGCTTAACTAGGAAGGCTTTACAACTCCTTTCTCCCCTGGTATCATTTCTCTTCAATCTCCGGGACCCATTATGCAGCAATTTTGCTTTCCCCAATTTCATTTTCACTTTCAAAGTGAATGTCATTTGTCAGGCAAACCACATATTCTTTGGATCCCTATCTGTTAAATTATTTCTGAACTTGACTTTTTGGGGCCCCATTCTGGCTGACCTAAATTCTTCTCTGTCTTCTACCATTTCCCCCTTCCCTCTGAAGGCAGCCATTTGAGGCTTCATTGCCTAAAGAGGCTGTTTCTGGAAGCACTTATCTGTTACCCCAGTTGGATAGTTATCATTCCTATCTAAATGAGCTAGTGTGATCTTTTCTCTGAACTCCAGGCAGAACCGATCCTTTGTATGAGAACTCCCCATCAGGTTTCAGACCCATCTGCAGCGCCATTCTCAGATCGTTCTCTTTGGAACTAAGATTCAAGTCCTCAATGTTTCTAATGCAATGTTCATGTCTGTAGCCATGTTTCAAAAGAACATGCCCCTCTTGAAGAGATGGTGCCTGGAATCCTAATTAGGCCATCTCTTGCCAGAAGATCATCTCAGAGGAGGTGCCCTGCAAGGACCTCCTTGTCTTTTCTGTCCTGGTGTTGCCAACTGCAGGGAGAATGTGTGATGACAGGGAAAGGGGTGTCAGGGGGAACAGCTGCAGAGTGGCAAAGAGTGCCTTCATACAATTCACCTTCAGAGTAGCAGCAAAGAACTTCTGCAGTGAAACCATGCCTGTTAACACATGTCAGAACTGATATTATGAGGGGATGGACAGCCCTGCTCTACCACAGGTTGGATGGACCATGGATAGAGTGTTGGGCTGGGTCTGAAGTGCCCCAATTCCAGAGGACAAGACCACAATTAAATTGCACAGAGAATAACCAAGCTTGTGAAGAGGCCAAACAGTGTGAAAGACGGTGGAAAGAACTGAAATGTTTAGCCTGGAAAGGAGAGCCTTTTGTGGGGATAAGCAGGGTGGAAAATTCTATCTCAGACTCCTGTTTTACAAATTAGAAACCTGAGACTTGGAGAGGACAGACCTGGAGAATAAGCACAGTGAACTTTTCGAAGAATAAATTAAATCATTTTGCTTTGCTGCGTAAAACCCTCCAGAGACTCCTGCTCCTGTCAATATAAAGGGCAAACCCCAAGCCATGGCCTCCAAGATCCCACATGATGGTGCTGGTCCCCCTCTACAAAGTGGAGGAATAAGCTAAATTGGTACAACCAAGAGACCCCATCCAACCATGGTTGAGACAAGGTTAGAAGTTTACTTCTTGACCTTGCTATAAACGATACCACAAGTTGCAGGGCAGACCATGATTCAATAGGGGCCAATTAGCAGAAACTGTCAGCTGAGACTTCAGGAACATACCCACGAATGAAAAAGAGACCCTTGCCTACTTTGTGTACATGGTGAAGAGAAACAAGAGTAGACTGGACCAGAAATCGGAAGGGTGCTGACAGCTCGAGTGAAGATAAGCACATCTTCAAGGAATGAAGTGTAATGCTACTGTTAATGTGGTATATGCCACATTTAAGCCCACAAAAACTGTTAAAGTTTTCTGTAAATTAAAAAGTTTGCATGATGAAAAAAGAGATGAGGAGTCAGGGGCAGGCAGGGATGCCCTGTCATCCTTAAAGTGGAGCCTTTGTATCTGGGTGCAAGGTGGCACCACAGGAGCCTTCGGGGGCTGGTTCAGCAGCAGCTCTTTGGGGAGGTACCCTCTGCCCACTCTATCGAATGGAGCTGGCCCATCATATAATCTATCTCAGCACAACACCCTGCTTGCTTCTTTCATCGTACTTACCACTATTTATACTTATTTATTCACTTGGTTTACTTTTGTCTATCCTTCCTCCTCATTTCCACCCAACTAGACTATACTCTTCAGGAGGGTATAATAGGGTACATCTTTTTTTTTTTTAATAGTTTATTGTCAAATTAGTTTCCACATAACACCCAGTGCTCATCCCCACGAGTGCCCTCCTCCATGCCCATCCCCCCCTCCCCCCCACATCCATCAGTCCTCAGTTTTTGTCAGCATTCAAGAGTCTCTCATGGTTTTCCTCTCTTCCTTTCCCCCACCATTTCCCCCCTTCCTCTCCCCCTTGTTCCTCGGTTAAGTTCCTCCTAATCCTCCTATACGTGCAAACATATGGTATTTGTCCTTCTCTACCTGACTTATTTCGCTCAGCATAACACCCTCAAGGTCCACCCATGTTGCTACACATGGCCAGATTTCATTGTTTCTCATTGCCATGTAGTATTCCATGGTATAGATAAACCACATTTTGATCCATTCGTCCGTTGATGGACACTTAGGCTCTTTCCATGTTTTAGCTATTGTTGAGAGTGCTGCTATGAACATTGGGGTACATGTGCTCCTATGCATCAGCATTTCTGTATCTATAATAGGGTACATCTTGAATTTCCAGCTCACTACTGTATTAGCTCTCTATCCCTGCTTAACAAATTACCCCAAAACAGAGTAGCTTAAAATAATAAACATTTATTATCCACAGTTTCTGTGGGTCAGGAATTCTGAAGCAGCTTAATGGGTGGTTCTGGATAGAAGTCTTTCATGACATTGCAATCAAGATGTCTGATGGACTGCAGCTATCTGAAGGCTTGGCTGATGCTGAAGGATTTTTTCCAAAATGGATCACTCATATGGTGCTGGTTATTGGTAGGAGGCCTCGGTTTCTTCCCACAGGGGCCTCTCCAAGCTGCCTGAGCATCCTTACAATAGGGCAGCTGGCTTCCCCCAGGGTGAGCAATCCAAAAGAAAGCAAAGCAGATGCCTCTGTCTTTCTGACTAGGCCACAGAAGTCACAGACTGTCATCTCTACAATATCCTGTTGTTTACACAGGTCATTCCTATTCACTGCAGGAGGGGACCACACAAGATTGTGACTATCAAAAAATGGGGTGGGGGGGTCACCTGGGTGGCTCAGTCAGTTAGGCATCTGACTTCAGCTCAGGTCATGATCTCATGGTTTGTGGGTTCAAGTCCGACATTGGGCTCTGCATTGGTGGTTCAGGACCTGCTTGGGACTCTCTCTCTCTGCCCCTCCCCAACTCTCTCTCTCTCTCTTAAAATAAATTAACTGATAAAAAAAGAAAGAAAACTGGGATCACTGGGGGCCATCTTGAAGGCTGGCTACCATAACTACTCTATCCCCAGCAGCCAAAATAGAATTAACGTACGGTAAGCATTTAATATACGTTTGTTCAGTGAATAAAAGAACAATGAGAGCCCAAGTAAACTCAGAATTATCAAGATTAGTAACTGAACCCAGTCTTGAAATCAAGTCTTCAGTTTCCTACTAAGTGTTCTTTCCCTATGACTTTGCCAACCATGCTCTCTCTTTTCCAATCCTCTGACACACAGCCCTGTCTCTCCCAGACCATGTCAGCCTGTAACCCAAGGCGGTGATGGCCTTTTCAGTAAAGAAAAGCATCCCTGGGATACGTCTTCACTGGAGTACTTGGCCAGGAGAGAGGAGGAATCCTGGGAGGCTGAGGGGTTGCAAGAGTCTGTCAGATCCATATGCAGCATTTGGCTATCTAAGGCTATGGTTTGGAAACTTCAGTTTGCAGAAGAATCCACCAGGGATTTGGTGATAGTCCAGAGTGGGACCCAGGATTCTGCAATCAGGAAGGTTGGTGGAATGTTCTCATTGCTGATGGTTAGAGGACAAGCACTCCCATTCCTGGGGCTCCTTTGCACCACTGAGCACAACCTTCCAGAGGGCCCACAGAGGGGTGGTTGGGCTTGGGGAGGGGAAGCCCAGTTACAGGGCTGCCAGGGTAAGATGATTTAGACAAGCTCAGGAAAACAAGGCCAGGGAGTGACAGCAAGAGGACAAAAGGCTCCTTAGTATACTGTTTATTTGTATAGAACTGAGTGTTAGGTAGTTGTGGTGTTCTTTTTTTCCTTGCAGGAGCTCCATGGTGTGTGTGTGTGCACACGCACACACGTAAGTTAGCTTCTTCTGGTATCCAACTGGGGATTTGATTCATTTAACTTGTTCAGAGTCAGTTGCAATAAACCAGGTGGTTTTGCATTGCTCATGCAAATCACTTTCTCCCACACATGGCCACAGTCCCAGCTGCCAAAATGTTGTCATGTTCTTGTCTCCAGAGCCTTAATAATAAGAAAAAATACAGTCTGCAGCATGTTTGTGCTCAACACTCTCCTTGGTTATCTCTGAGCCTGTGCGGTCACTGCCGGCTCTGTCAACGAGCCAATTCAACCCAGGAGAAGATATATACAGAGGCCAGTGGAGCTGAAGAGCCTGAACTCTAGCTCCTCAGGTCATAGCTTCTGCTGACCTATTCACAGTGTCCCTTATGACAGCCAACAACACCTTGGGTACGGAGGCTAAAATCCCAAATTTTAGATTTGGGCTCCACCTGATGGTGCCCTGGTGCCCTAATTCTTGTGGGAATTCGGTGAGACAATCAAAGTCAATACTGCCAATTGGTTTTAGTTCATGGTGCGGAAATAGATAAAGCACTGGAGTAAACATGAAAGGTTAGCTGTGGCCATATATGATCTTTAAGAGGGTTTGGGTCATCCCGGCTTCTGCCCATCAACCGTGTGGCTAAGGGAGCAGTGTCTTATGGTAAACTGACTGACTGAGAGTCACCCAAATTAGTGACCCTTGCAGAAATGTATGTGAACCCATACACAGCCATGTGTCTTGCTTTGGCCAATGAGATGGGAGCAGAAGTGACATGCTACCTCCAAGCAGAATCTTTAAGAGCCAGAGTATAACTGTCTTGTTCTCTCTCTTTATCACAGTGGCCAGCAAAGTTACAGATCACCCTGGATACCAAAGTCAAGACTGTATGAAGTAGAGCCACAGCCAACCCTCAATAACCATAAAGCTTGAGCAAGGAATGAATGTCTTCTGTTTTAAGAGATTTGGGAGTCATTTGTTACTACAGCAAGCAAAACTATTCCATTCTGATCATACCATGGCATACCTGATGAGACCCTTTGATCTGAAGAAAAGCTCTAATTAATTGTGCGCCAGACAAATGTTAGCCACTCACTTTTACAAGCACCAATGGAATATAAATAATTTTCTTGAGTTTTTATCAGCTTTGTCCTCTGGAGGTTCAGCTTTATCCCCAAGCTAGTAAAGAGATGACTAAAAATTCCAGTTATCATATCCATACAAAAACAGGTCATCTCTTTCTGAGTCTCTTCCATACAGAAAAATTTCCAAAAGCTCTGTTAAAGCTTCAATAGCATCTAATGATAGTGATAATGAAAAGCATGGGCTATAGAGTCACAGAATCTGAGTCCAAATACTGACTGGGTGATCTTGGGCAAGGGACTTAGTCACTGTGTCTATATCTGTAAAATGGGAATAACATTAGGATCATTGCCAAGAATAAATGAGTACGTACAAGGTTTTTGGACCGGTGCCTGGTACATAGGACATACTTTCTGCATGTTAGTAGTGGACATCTGTCATGGCCAATTTTCACCCAGAATTACACAGGGAAGGGAATTCTGGGAAGCATAGTTCCAGCTTGGCCAGATTGACAGCTAGTACAGGATGGGAAGGTAGATCACAGCAGGCTGTTCAGTTAGGCTAAGGATTTGGGTGGGGGGACAGAGTAAAGTCTTTGAATTTTTTTCTTTCCTTCTTCTTTTTTGTAGAGAGAGAATGTGTACTCACAAGTAGGGAAGGGAGGCAGGAGAGAGAGAGACTCTTAAGCAGGCTCCACTCAGGGCAGAGTCTGACATGGGGCTCGATTCCACAACCCTGGGATTAGGACCTAAGCCAAAATCAAGAGTCAGATGCTCAACTGTTTTCTTTTAAAGTAGGCATGGCTTGATCAGCTTTGCATTTAAAAAGACCTGTTAGGTACCAGGGTAGACAATGATTGGTGGTAGGATACAAGAAGCATGAAGAACCAACTGTTATAGTAGTTTGTCATTTCTAAGGTACTGCTTCAAATCCTGTGGAAAAAGGTGAGATAAGAATGCACAAGCAAACAATTGCTAGAGTCATTTTAGCTCTTTTTTTTTTTAACGTTTAATTTTGAGAGACAGACAGAGAGAGAGAGAGCAAGCAGGGGAGAGGCAGAGAGAGAGGGAGACACAGAATCTGAAGCAGACTCTAGCTTCGAGCTGTCAGCACAGAGCCTGACGTGGGGCTCGAACTTAGGAACCATGAGATCATGACCTGAGCTGAAGTCAGATGCTTAACCTACTGAATCACCAAGGTGCCCCATGGTAATTTTAGTTCTAATGGTCTATAATGCAATATAAAAAATAAAATACATGTACACACACCAGATTAAGATATTTCTTTCTTTCCCTGAGAGACATTCAGTCCATTTCAATAGTTTCCCAAAACGTGGTATTGTTATTAATTCTGGATTTTTCCCATTAAACAATGTAAGTGTGTCCAATGATCAAAATAATTCACTCACTTTTTCCTTGTGCACAGTGTAGATGTATGCTATGAAAGACACTGAATCCACTCAATTAGAACCAAAGAGCTTTCTGACTAAGCTTTAGATTTGTGTGTCAATTTTAATTCCAAAAAATTCATTAGGAAGTAAGAAAGAAGGAAACCTTCACCTCATGAAACAAGTCTCTGCACTAACTACCCAGGTATCCCCTCTCTCTCCCAGCCTTCCTTGTGATTGCTGGGGCTTGGGCGTCTAGTACTGGCCGATGGACTGTGAACAGATATGACTTGTCCCACGTCTGGGCTGGGGCAGTGTGGAGCTGGGGTGCCTCTTTCAGTTTTCTGTTACCTACTGTGGTGACTTGAAGGCAACAGACAACAGAGCCACAAGATGAGGAGGGTGGTGTAACTAGGATGAGGCTTCATGTGAAGAGAAAAATGGGATTTTATTATGAAAAATAATAAGGGATTTGTTAACTTGGCATGGCCTAGCATAGCCTGGCTAATACATCTGCCAAAGCCAGTGTCAGGTACTTTTACACCTATTCTCCTCACTGAGCCACCCCATTCGCCTATGACAAACACAGGGCATGAGAAGGAGCTTACCTATGCACACATAATTTGCACGGATGAAACTTGAACCAATAGATATAGATCCAAAGTCCATAAGTTTTCTATCCCATCATACAACAGCACATCCTATTCCCACTAAAGAATCTAAAGGATATGACCATGGGTGGACAACAAGCATTGACTTCTTGACTCACTGAGAGGGACACAAAGTTCTAGCTGGTCCAATGTCCTTGTCGGGTGTCCAGGGCTTCAGGTTTGCCCTTCTGACCTCTCCTCCAATTCTTTTTTCCTTTTAATTCTGGTGGCAAAGTAGCACTGTGGTTAAGAGCATAGATTTCTGGAGCTCTGCCACTCACAAGCTGTGTGACCTTGACCAACATATTTCACCTCCACAAGCTTCAGTTTCCTCATTACCCAAAATGAAGATAAAAGACCTACCTTATGGGGTGCTTACAAGGATTAAATGAGATGGTGTCTGCAAAGTACTCAGTGTGGGGTCTGGCACATTGGAAATATTTGGTAAATGGTAGCTAATAAATGGGATGGCCCAAAGCAGCCATTCATTTTAAGGTACAATAGATTATTTTTCCAACAAATGCTTTCTCCAGGAGCTAACTGTATAAATAACCTCAAGATTCCTAACCTCAAAGGCAAGGGAAATTGTGTCAGCTTGCTTTCCTCTCCTATGCTTAAATTCACGCCTACACTTTATTCCCATTATTAGTTCCTATTCTCCTAAAGAGTTCTCTGGAACAGCAGCCTGTTCTATAAGAGCAGAAGTTCTCAAAATCAGTTCTTCACCTGCAACGTAGGAATGCAAAATTCCAGAAAATCCCATTGATTTTCATTGACTCAAGAAAATCTCATCAGGGAAAACCTGTCATACTGTTCCCAGTAATAGGCATTTCTTTACCTGAGCAATACAAGCCTCCAAGCCTCAGAAGAGAGGTATCCTGTAGATAATGGTGGAGGGCTCAGCTATGTCCTGAGGGACACACATGCTTTTATTGGTCATTGTTAGTGGTTTTTATTTTAAAATTTTTTAATGTTTATTTATTTTTGAGAGAGAGAGACAGAAACAGTGTGAGCAGGGGAGGAGCAGAGACAGAAGAAGACACAGAATCCGAAGCAGGCTCCAGGCTCTGTCAGCACACAGCCCAACACGGGGCTTGAACTCTAATACCACAAGATCATGTGAGATCATGACCTGAGCTGAAGTCTGACACAACTGATTGAGCCACCCAGGCACCCCTTTATTTAAAAAAAAAAAAATTAATGTTTATTTATGTTGTCAGCATTGTTTAATTGTGATAAAAACACTTAACATGAGATCTAGCCTCAACAAGTTATTAGGTGCATAATTATAGTAATGTAAGCTACAGGCACAAGGCTATACAGCAGATTCTAGAATTCAACCATCTTCCATAACCCAATACCAACTCTCCCTTTCCCCTTCTCCCAGCCCCTGGTAACGAGCGCCCCACTTTCTGCTTCTACATGTTTGACTGTTTTATATGCCTCATACAAGTGATATCATACAGTATTCATCTTTCTTTCCCTTAGCATAATGCCTTCTTCAAGTGCCATCCATGTTTTGAATATGGCAGGATTTCCTTCCTTCTTTTGTTTGTTTGTTTATTTATTTATTTATTTTTAAATGTTTATTTATTTTGGGAGAGGAAGGGTCAGAGAGAAAAGGTGAAAGAGAATCCAAAGCAGGCTCTGAGTTGTTAATGCAGAGCCTGATGCAGGGCTCAAACTCATGAACTGTGAGATCATGACTTAAGCTGAGGTTTAATGCTTAACTGACTGAGCCACCCAGGCATCCTTTATTTTGAGAGAGAGAATGTGAGGGAGGGAGGGGCCGAGAAAGGGAGAGAGAATTCCAAGCAGGCTCCACATTCAGCGCAGAGCCGAAATCAAAAGTCAGATGTTTAACTGACTGTGCCACCTAGATGCCCTGAAAACCACCCATAATTTTGACAGTAGAAATAAAGAGATATATTTCAGACATTTTTAGGATATGCATTGTTGTTTTTAATAAATCATAACGTATATCTCTTTATACCTACTTTTTGCCCTTTGGATCTATCTTTCCACATCGGTAAGTATCTATAACCAACTACTACTTATTACAACAGCTGTATACTATTCCCTTATATGGATGTAGTTTGGACTATAGGTTGTTTCCAATTTTTTTTTGCTATTGCATGTAAAAATGTGATCCTCAATGCTGAAATAATCATACAGTAAAGCATTAATAGCTCTGGTGGCTAATTTCTGTCCCCACTCCTGACACCCCTGCTTGTCCCTATTATAAATAATTAAATGTTTTCCAGTTAAACCTACCTAATTACATATTAATCATCCCTAAGTCAAAAGATCATTGCTGAGATTAATTATAACAGAGACACTTGTTCACAAAAACTTGATTGTTATTTCATATCAGAAACAACACATTAATCTAAAGACTGAACTTCACAGACCATAATGATCTTTTACAACAAACAGATGTCAACCAGGTCTTCTCTGGCAAGGCAGGAATTACATTACTACTTAATAATCCAGACAGGGGAAAATGAATTCCAGAATAAGGGGATTTGCTTATAAAAGCAGTTTTTAAATAATGAGCCATGTTGCAAAGTAGACAAGAGATGGAGTCAGACAAAATGAGGTTAACATTGGCACTGATCTTTATTTGCTGTGAGCCCTCGAGCAGTTTACTTAACTTCTCTGAGCCCCAGCTTCCTTCTCTCTAAGATACTTATTAACATCTACTGCAGATGTTACCCCTCCTTGACTGCTAAGACACAGAGAACAGCTAGAGTGAAGGCCCTCTGCCACTCAGAAGAAATTATCTCTTGGTCCAATTCTGTATTTGACATCTCAGGCCAACAGCATTCTCCATTAATAGAGTGGCCAAAGAATCTACATCCACACTGGGACACTTCTGAGACTTAACTGGGGCACTATAAATAGTTTGCAGGGACAGCAGGTGCAAACTTGAGCTCCCCCAGGCAGACTGGCAACCCTACTATTAACCAGATCAACACCAGTCTACATGAAGCAAGTGAGAAAATCAGGTCATTTCATTTCAAGGTTGTCTCAGTTGTTCCTCATGTGATCAAGAAAAACTAATTCAATCACAGACTGAAGCATGCACAAAGTTTATTTGGCCTGCCCAGAAGGACCCTTTTGCACAATCTATTTGGTTTTGTTTTTGAAGTTTATTTTATTCATTTTGAAAGGGTGAGGAGAGGCAGAGAGAAAGGGAGAGAGAGAGAATCCCAAGCAGATGGTGCAGAGCCTGACGTGGGGCTGGAACCCACAAACCTTGAGATCATGACTTGAGCCAAAGAGTCAGACACTTAACTGACTGAGCCATCTGGGTACCCCTGGCACCATCTCTCTGAGTTATCAATTCTGTTATCAGTCTTCTTGGGGCTATGAAAACTTCTTTATTATGGGGAACCTATAAATCTTATTGTGCAATTTTATATGATCTTGGTATAGTTTTCCATTTATTTGCATTTTGAAAAAACTCATTCATTATATGCCGAGCTTCAGCCTAAAATTACAGGAACTAGGGAGATGGCTGAGCCACAGTCTTTTTGCTTTAAAGGAACCCATAGTTAGGCCAGGGAGACTACCACAGAAGCCGTTCACAAA